TTCCGCCATTTGCCGTCGGCGAGGCTCCAGGCCGTCGGCGGAGATTTCTCGCATGTGGCTGATGGCGCTGCCGACTGAGATCCCGCGGGGGCGCCCCTGCTGGCTGGCGCTGTCGCGTCCTCTCGCGCGGACTACGCTACTGGTACGAAGACAGCCGCGTCAGGCCGCAACGCAGATCTATCGCCAGAGCTGCCACTGTCTGCAATCTCGGGTTGGTTGCCACTGCCTGTCTGTTTCCTCGCACGGGCCACTCGTTGGGACCGCAATACTGCCCTCTCGCAAGAACTGCCAGCGACTGCCCGCTGGCACGGGCTGTCACTGCTCGCTGCCACTGCTGTTTCCTCTCGCACTCCCTTGCTGTAGCTGATGGTGTCGGGCTCCAGCTTCACTTGCCCCCTGTCGCGGACCCCGATCCCTGCGCTGTCCCCAACGGGCGTGTTAGTGACTAGGTTAGCGATTTCGGGCTCCAGATTCGCCTCTGCCTTCTCGCAGGGTGGTGTCTGCGGTAGCTGCCACTGCCTGCCCTCGCAAGCGCCGATCCTTGTACTGTGGCTGATGACGTCGGGCTCTGGCTGCGCCTTCAGTTCCTCGCCGTTTGGGGGTAGGGAGGCCACGCCTTGCTCGCTGTAGCCTTGCTGCCACTGTTGCCTTCGCTCCGTTGCTGCCCGCTCTCGTCCTGCTGCCACTGCTCTCGGTACCTGCTGCCAGAGCTGCCCATGGTCGCACGCCAGCGATCGCACATGCGTGACCCGACCTACAGCTGATGACGTCTGGACTCCGAGCCTCGCACCATTACCCATTACGCTTGCTTCTTCACGCGCACGCATGTCCCAGCTTGTAGCTGATGGCGTTCGGGCTCCTATCCCCGCACCGCTGCCTGCAGACACCGTCTCTTCTCGCACGAATGTGTCCCAGCACGCACCTGATGAGGTCAGGGCTCCCGTCCTCGTGCCTGTGTTCGCTGCCAATGCAGTCTCTGTTCGCACGCGGAAGTCCCGGCCTGCAGTTGATGGCTTAGTATCAGTGTCGGGCTCCAGCTTCGCCTCCCCACTCTCGCAGCGTGGCACTTCCAGGGTCTTGCCAGCAACATTGGACTGTATAGTAGTCTCTTTCTCGCTTCGCGCACGCTCTGGTTCTGCTGTCGTTCTTCGCACGCTCTGGTTTTGGCTTGCGTCTGCGCTCGTCGCACGCTCTACTGCCCCACTGCTGCCACTGCTATCGCTAGTGATTGTTGCCGTTGCCGCGTCTGTCCGCTGCCACTGCCCATCTGTTGACGGATGGAACGAGAAAAACAACGTTGTGCCGCACACGCATTGCCTTTGAGGAACTACTGATGGCGTCGGGTTCCTGTCCCCCTCGCCACCGAGTGGTGTCGGCTGGTCTTGTGATGCGGGAGTGGGGAAGACACGTCTCCGCTCTGTGACCTGATCTGGGAAAAATGGCGGGGCATTTTTCCGCAAACAGGAGCAAGGTGTGCGTGGCTCCCATACATGACCGCACGCGGTCTTCCACAGCAGGCCGACGTCGTAGGGGTCGCACCTTTTCTCCAGGTTCTCGCTGCATATCCGAGTCGGCCCACTGCTTTCTTCACAGCGGCGGGCGACCTCCATGCGGGACGCGTGGGCAATATCTCGCAAGCAATGTTCTTCATGGGAAGTCAAACGTCAATCGCGGCGCCTCCTGGGAAACGCGCGCATGAGCCCGACCCTGAGGCGGCCCGCCCGATCGCCCGATCGCGGTCTGATCGCGGGCCCTCCCCCGAGAGGTCATGGTTTTCGCGCCTCCTCCTCTTCCTCCTCCTGCTCCTTCTCCTCCTCCTCCTCCTCCTCTTCCTCCTCCTCCGCCTCATCTTCCTCCTTCCCTCCCCCTCCTCCTCCTCGTCCTCCTCCTGCTCCGCCCCGTGCTCGTTGTCGTAGTCGTAGTCGTCGTCGTCGTCACGACGGAGATTCGTTTCCCTCCATTGTTAGCCGGGCTGGATAACGTTGGTGGTATCCTTCCCAGGGAATGTCCGTTGTAGGATACCCTGCACGCGAGAGGATTTGTGAGGATAGGATTGCAATAGGAATCAGTGGTTGTGGTTGTCGTCTTGATTGTGGTCACGGCTTTAATCGTGAGTGCAATAGTGGTTGTAATCGTGATTGTAGTCGTATCTTCGTCGTCGCGGGGGGGAATTCTTGCCCCACTAATGTTCGCCGCGCTGAATGTTGGGAGATTCTTTCTTCCAGCGGAGAATCATCTCTGGGCTACGCTGCACGAAGGAGGAATTTCGAGCACGTCCGTAAGTGGATGGCCACCTAGATCAACACACAGTTCGCCGAAGACGTTGCTTTTAATATGTTACTCGTAGTCGTCATCATAGCCGTAGCCGTAGTCGTATCGTGCCCGTAGTCGTAATCGTAGTCGTCGTCGTCGTCGCCTTCGTCGTCGTCGTCATCATTGATGTTGTGCAGCGAGTGCCGCGGCGAAATAACTATTTTCCATTATTGGTCGGGCCCCAGTCCGTCAATGAAGGCGTCGAAAAGACATTTAGTTTCCATTGTTGGGGGTTTTCTAAAGACCAATCGAGGTTACTGATCATTGGAAGCAGGAGGAGCAGCAGCTCGAGTAGCATTTGGAACAAGAGATAGAGACGGATGTTGTGGGGACCACCTGGATAGCGTGGCGCGCCGCTGGTTCTGGTCCACCACGCCTCGGTGCCAAACGCTATCCACGCCCCCATCCCCGAGCGTCAGCGTCCCGAGCCTTTCTCACCCTCCCGCCCCGCAGAGCGGAGTGGCGCGCTATCCGTTTCTCACGGCAGATCTTGTCGCCGGGGCCGTCGTGGCGACTCGTGGCGGCATGCTGAGCAAAAGCCCTCGACCGTGAAGGGTCGCGCGAAGGCCAGCGCGGCGACAGGGCAAGCCGTTGAAGCAGGCGTCGAGGTGTACTGTGGTGGGAAGGTGTGGCAGGGTCTGTGCGGGCCGCGCGTGTTATCGAGCTAAGCACTGTTGCGTTTCGGAGGGAAGGGGGGCTCCACCACTGGAAGCACCAGCCGTGGAGGAGAGAGGAGAGGAGTCGGAGGGGAGCGGAGAAGTGACAAAGGCATTGTGTGGGCATCCCCGGTGCCCCTGCCAGCAGCTTATACAGCATTCAGAATGGACGCGACGGCGGAGGAGGCGGGAGGACGAGGAGAGAGGCAGTTTTCATCATCACTGCACCTGGTACTTGGAAACATGTTGCTGCGCTTCTCGCGATGAAATGATTCCCAAGATAACGTCTTTTTGTGTTCAGCTTTGGCTTTGGTACAGACCTGTATATACAACGTTTACTTGATTGCACCGTTGTCTGGCAAGCGTCAACCACTTTTCTGTTGTGCAGTCTCGTGTGCTGTTTGTCTGAAGTTTTCGGCGCCCTGGGCCCATCCCAGGCCCTGGGATCGCCCACGCTACTCGGGATGGGTGAACAACTGATCGCGGGGAATGTTTCGGTTTCCAGGGCCCGTTTCCATCTGGACCTTTCTCCTTCGTGCCAGGGTCCGTGGCTGACTGGATCTCCCCAGACCTCCCCGTGGGCGCCAGGCCTATCTTCGGCCCCCAGCCGCTCCCTTAAAACAGAGCGTCGATACCAGACGATCTCGTTTTGATGCTCCTGCTTTTCTCCACCCTTGTCCTTCTCCCCCCTACTCTCCGAATCACCCTTGTCATCTCGCCTTTTCGTCCGCGTCCTCGTTTGCCTCTGCCTTCTAGTCCTCCTGATACTCCCCCTCTCTTTTCTCCTCATCCTCCTCTTCCTCCTCTCGATCAGTCCCCCCGAAATGTGTCTTGTAGCGGCTACCATGTTATCCATCGCGTACAATTCGTTAACGCCTTTTCGATGTCATGGTAGGCCATTGTTAGGTTGATGTCGCCGCGGAGCATGTTGCATCACAGCGAAGTTGGTCGAGTTATATCTCTTTGTGTATACGTATCACGTTATCTAGTCTCTCCCTCTCTTTACCTGCCCCACTCTCTCTCTATGCGTATATGTATATATTGTGTATCTCAGTTCGCCACATGTTTCTTGTTACTGGCTCTTGCGGGTACCGACTGCTTGTTTCCAAGAGGGCGCAGCCTGACAAGCTGCTGGCGCACACCGAGGTTCCAGGAGAGTGAGGATGAGGGGAAGGTAATCCTGGCCAAGGAGAGCGTCAAGGTGCCCCCCCGATCCGCGTTGCGGATTCGCTCTTTTCTTATTGGATCAGCCTAGCATATTGGTTTCATCGTTCGATGCTCCGTGTATCCCAAACCAGCCCCTCCAGAAGCAATGCCCAGACGAATGCTCGAGACACGAAGCGTACGCTGAGAAATTGACTGTGGAGCAGAGTGTAGGGCTGGTGGACCGAACGACCCTGCGTAGCTCTCTTGGGACCTCTTTGGGCCAGGGGTCGACCTAAACTGTGTTTGGGCGATTTCGTTGGCTGCTCTCGTTTCGAATTCCGTTTGCGGCAAAGGCGGATTGAAGACAACACGAGTGAAGCCGAACGCAAAACGAAGACGAAACGCACTGTTTAGGTCGACCCCTGCGTTGGGCCATCTGGGAGCCTTCTTGGAGCCCTGTTTGGGAGCTCCTCTGGGGCCTCCTCAGGGGCCTCCTCAGGGGGCTGGCTCCTCTGGGGGCTCCTCTCGGGGCTCCTGGGGGCTCCTCTCGGGGCTCCTGGGGGCTCCCCTGGGGTCTCTGGGAGCCTCCTCTGGGGGCCCCTCGCGGCGCTCGTGGGGCTCCTCTGGGGGCCGTTCAGGCCCTCGTGGAGCCATCCGGGCGGCCCCCGATTGCCAGCGGGTGTTGTTCCCCCTTGCTGGCGTCCCTCCTCCCCCTCTTCCTCCCCCTCCTCCTCGTCCTCCTCCTCCTCCTCCTCCTCCTCCGTAGCCATTTTGGCTCAAGATGCCTGCACCAGGGGGCTTCCGCGCCCTCGTGCCAAAGCGGGATAGCTCTGTTCCCCGAGCTAGGCAAGGCTGCTTGGCAGCCTGGCAGTGCGCGCGGCGGCCATGGCGCTTCGAGCGTTGGGCAGCGGCAAGCCAGGCGGAACGGCGACGTGCTGGAGATGCACTACATGTGGATACAAGAACCTGGGTTGGCGCGAACAGTGCAGGCAGCCGGGCTGTCTGGCGCATCGGCCTTCTCATCACGTACCTGGTGGCGGCGGTGGTGCTCGCGGCCCTTTGGGGCGGTGGCGTGACGGGCCGCCACAAGGTGAACATCCATGGCATAAGCGTGGGCCTGAGCGAGGAGGCCCTGGGCGCGGAGGAGGTGGGCCTGGTGGCGGGCCTGGCTTCATCAAGCTCACTGACGCCGTGCGGGAGCGGTTCCTCGCGCTCAGCGCTGAAGACTTCGCCATCTTCGCCCCCGCCAGCCTGTCGCCGTCTGATCATCATTCCCTGCGGCAGGCCCGCTTCCTGTTGCAGCAAGAGTTGGGCTCTCTGTCGGATTGCAAATCAGTCAAGAGCGCGCAGGTCAAGGCGGGCGAGGCTGGCAAGAAGCTCAGGAAAGCGCAGCAGGACGCAGAAACCAAGGATCGACTGGCTGTCGAGGCTCTCCTCGAGGCGGTCAAGCAGAAGAAGTACGTGGAGCAGCTGGAGCAGGAGCTGCGTGAGGCTGTGGCAAAAGCTAAGCAGGAGATGGGGCAGCAGGAGCGTCAACGGGAAGGTGGAGCCGCCCCAGGAGCCGTTCCCCAGCCGAGTGAAGTCCGCAGCATGGTGGACAAGCACGCGAGGCTGGCCAAGCTGGTGGGGACCAAGATCGAAGGAGTGGATCTCGGTGAAGCAGGTGCTGCCCTCAAAGAGCTTCTCTCGACGCTGGCCGATGACAAGTCCAAGGTCGAAGAGGCTCCTCCTGTCCAAGCTCCAGTCACTCCTCGTCCTGGGGCAGCCAGCCAGCCTGCTGGGGCTGCCGCAGGTTCCCAAGACGACGCCATCAAGCCTGAGGACTTCAGTGAGTTCTCCAGCGCCACCTTCGACGCGGCGATGCAGGAGTTCGGCGGTGACTGTCCAGACAAGCGCAAGCTTCTGGAGCAGCTCGCGGAGAGGATTGGCAAGAAGATGCGTGTGGGGTAGCAAGGCCCGCATGACTTTCAAGATTGGGGTGCTTAACGTCAGCGCCTATGCGAACATAGACAAGTGTTTGGGTGGTAGCCTTGCAGACTGCGACACCTTGTTGTTCCAGGAGGCTCGTTTGCCAAGCCAGCGCACGGTCGACGCTGAGGCTGAGCTGAGACGTCGCGGCTGGAGAGCCGCAGGGGCGCCTGCGCCCCCTTCTGCCGCGGGCGGCCTCGCCTCGGGCGGGTTGCTCACGCTGTCGCGCATGGTACATGGACTGGCTCCGATGTTTGGCTCGCAGTCTCCTATTGTTTGCCCAGGACGTGCGTTTGTGATGCACCAGTCTGGGCTACTTGCAGGTGGGTTCGTGGTTGTCAATATCTACCTGCAAAGTGGAGTGGGCGTGAACAGGTTCAACTGTCTGGTGTTGCAAGGCGTGGGTCGTAGATCGCGAGAGTGCAACAGGCCCTTTGTGATTGGTGGAGATTTCAACTGCACCCGTGAGGAGCTGGTGGCGAGCGGGGCCTTGAAGTTGTTCCGTGGGAAGCTCGTCGACGCGCTGGAACCCACGTGTGCCCAGTCCATGCGGTCGATCGATATGTTCATCATGTCGCAAGGGCTCGAGGTGTTCGATGTCGGGGTATTGTCAGGATCACATGTTTGGCCGCGTCGGCCTGTGGTGCTCACGCTGCAGGCTGCGAAGGAGCCGTCCCGTGTGAGGATTGTCGAGGTGCCCGAGGCTTTCCTCGGGCGCGGCCCGCAGGCGGTCTGCGGCAGTCCTACGTCGAGCAGTGGCAGGGTGTTGGCGATCAGGTGCGGGCGCTCCTCAGTGGTCCTGGTTGCCTGGCCGGAGCTTGGAGCCAGTTCCTCGAGCAAGCCGAGTCCGCGTGGCTGGACGTTTACCAGACCACTGACCATCAGCAGAAGTACTGTGGCAGAGGCAAGGAGCACTCGCCGAAGCTGGTTCGGAACCTTCCAGTTGCAGGGGCTCGCTGGCCCAGAGTGTCTGCAGAAGCTACGTGGCTCCTTCAGGTGTCCAACGAGCTGGAGGTCGCTTCCAGAATGGAGTATCCCATATCGCGTCTTCGAGCGCTGCAGGGTCTGCGCAAGCTACTGGCGAAGCCTCCGAAGCTCGTGAAGGTGGAGCCTGCGGCTGGGGACGCGGGCTGCGTCCCGCCAAAGGACGTCCCCCTCGTGAGCAGCTGGTGGCATGCGCTCAGCAGTTTGCGTATTGGTCGGCTGGGCCTGGGCGTCGTGTCCCAGCTTTCACATCGCACGATGCAGGAGGCCTGCAGGGTGGCGGATCATGATATGTACGCGCGCCGAGCTGAGTTCAACGAGTGGGTCGAGCGACAGGCACGAGGGGGAGGTGGAGGCCTTCATGCTCTAACCAATGTGCCTGCAGGATTCGAGTCTGGTCCAGCTGGGTGTCTTGCTGAAGATCGACCGTGCATGCCCGCCGACCTGGGCGCCGAAGTGGTGGCCTTGGAGAAGGAGTGGAGTCGTTGGTGGAGATGTCATCTTCATCAAGAGCGAGTTGTCTGGCCTGCTGATCTGGGTGAGAGGCCGCCTCGGCCCTCAGTGGAGCAAGTGAAGAAGGCCCTCCTCACCTCCCCTGTGCAAACGGGCATGTCGTTCGACACGATCAGCCCACGTCAGTTTCTAGGGCTTGGCGATGCGGGGTTGGAAGTCTTGGCGGACATCATTGAAGGCATTGAGAGAGAGGCGTCTTGGCCAAAGTTGGTTACGAAGGTCTGTTTCATTCAAAAGCGAACTGGTGGTGTGTGGCCGATTGCTCCCATCATGGCTATTTCTCGTGTTCAAGCGCGGCTTCGGCGGGATGTGGCGAGGTCCTGGGAGGCTTGCAATTCGCGGTCTTTCTGGTGGGCCACGCAAGGTCGTTCCTGCGATAGAGCGATATAGCACCAGACAGCCATGAGCGAGTGGGCCACCCAGAAAGGAGTTGCAGCGGGGGGCGAGCGTGGTTGGACGGCTGCTGCAGTTCTTCTCGATCTCCTCAAAGCATACGAACAGATTCGGCATCATTGGCTGGTGGCTGCGGCCATTGAGACGGGGTACCCACTGTGGCAATTTAAGTTGTCGTTGCAGCTGCATTGTTCCCCTCGCATTCTCACGCTTGGAAGTGCGGCATCGGATGTGGTGGATGCGCGGCAATCCGTGCTACCAGGCGATGGGTTTGCGACGACTTTGTAGAAGCTTATCCTGGTCAAGCCCTTGGACCTGCTGGTACGCCACCGCCCCGCGGTTCAGTTGGCAGTTGTCGTGGATGACGTGGTGTTCCATCGAGTGGGAGGGCTGGTCGGAGCTACAAGAGAGGTTCCAGACGCTGCTTTCCGCCTGCAGACGTTGCTCGAGAGAGTTGATTTGAAGATCGCCGCTTCCAAGTCACGGGCGATGTCCAGCGTGCCAGCTGCTAGACACTCCTTGGGAAAAACGATTGCGGCGGCCGCTAGGCATGCAATCAGTTGGCACCGAACGCAACCTTAGAGTGGACTTTGCGTGCGGCAGGCGCATTCAAAGGAACGTCAGAAGAGAGAAGCTGGTGGCTGCTGGACTTTGTATTCGCCGGGTCATGTTCCTCAAAGGCGGCAAAAGGCGGACGACTTGCTGTGCGCAAGGTCGCTCGCAGTGGCCTGGAGGCGTCGGTCAGCTACGGGTTCGTGGTCACAGGCTGCTCTAGCACGGAGCTTGACAAGCTGAGAACTCTGGTGTTCACGTCCGTGGCTCATTCCACTGCTGGGCGGCCGATGTCAGTTACCTCGATGCTGGCCCCAGGCCTTGATCCGATGTTCAGGGCGACGCTGCTACCAGTTATGACAATGCTTCGAGCGGCGTGGGAAGGCTGGATACCGAAGCATATCATCAGATACGGCCTGATGCATTGTTGTGCGACCAGCTGGGCTCAGGTTAAGGGGCCCTTTGCAGCAGTGAGACTGTCGCTTGAGAGAGTTGGGTGGACCGTGCTGTCTGACGAATGCTGGCGCGCCAACGAAGGCCCCGTGGTTCGTGTGTTCGATGCGTCACCATGGGCAGTTAGGCGGTTTCTGGAGCGTGCTGTTGAATCGTGGCAGTGGAAGCAAGTCGGAGCCCATGGTGGCTCCGACCACCTTACGGACGGAGGAGAGCTGGAGCCGCTGACGCGGCTTATCAACGGAGGTGCAGCTTGCAAGACAGGCATGTTCGGCAAGCAGGTCGTCCCAGGTACCGCAGCCAAGTCAAGGCCACGGAGGACGTCGACGCATCCACCTCCGCAGCATGGGCCTCCAGAGATTCGTCCGCTTCCTTGTGTGGATCGTGACGGAGTGCGAGGTTCAGTGCTGGGCCATGGGTACCAGCCGCCCGCTGGCGCGTCTTCGTGCACTTTGAAGAGTTTACGGGGTGGCGCTGGTCAAGGCTGGGTTAACGTATTCCATGACCTGCTGGGTGGTATTACCGATTCCTACGACGGCGTGGGTGCAGATGGAATCCCAGTGGCCGAGGCACCGCAGATCGTGTGCAGCAGTTCTGCGCCCTTGGTCCGACAAGACGTGCCAGCCAGCCAGGCCCCGCGCGACAGCTTCGTGGCTGTCGGTCCTGTGGTGGGCAGCTTACCCTCAATGCTCGGCTTCGGCCATGCGCCACAGGATACGGGGTCTGAGGGCAGTCGTAATGGAGTCGGGTCGGGCCAGCGTGGCTGCGCAGGCGAGGCCACGGTCGTGTCCGCTGGTGGAGCGCCAGTTACCGAGGTGATATTGGGTGGGAGCTGCATCTCTGCGCCCCTGGTCCGACAAGACGAGCCAGCCAGCCAGGCCCCGCGCGGCAGCTTCGTGGCTGTCGGTCCTGGGCAGCTGACCCTCAATTCTTGGCTTCGGCCATGCGCCACGGGGTACGGGGTCTGGGGGCAGTAATGGAGCCGAGTCGGGCCAGAGCGGCTGCGCAGAACCTGACGCAGTCGTATCTAAGATGGTGGCTATTCGATTGACGGCGAAGAGAAGGGATATCTGGACTCGCTGGTGCAGGGCGGCAATGGTCGCAGGCTCGCAAGTTCGAGAAGGGCTACGCTACTGCACCAGACTGTCTGCGCTGTGGGCCGCTTGGGACTTTGTACCACAGGCATTGTGAGTGTGGCAACTGGCCTGATGGATTGGTGCTGCCGAAGCAGATCGAGCTGTTGGCGCAGGATGTGGACGACGATAAGATGCGTTGCCTTCTGGAATGCTGTCGGTGGCCAGGTCCTCAAGGTGTACGCATACCTCCCCGACCAGCGGAAGTTTGTTGGCTCGGCATGCTTGGTGGTGGTTGGCTACCGCCTGGGAGGCTGCATCCGCGCGCGAAGGGGGGCTACGAGCGTTGCACCTCAGTTGGCTGGGCAGTCATCGCGCTGAGGCCAGGTTCTGACGAGTTCTACCAGGGCGTGTCAGGAGTGCTGGATTAGCCCTACGTTGACATCAATGGCGGGGAGCTGGCAGCCCTGCTTCACGCCCTGAGGTTTTCCTTCCCACCTGTGGTAGCAGTTACGGACAGCTCCTTCGTGGTCAAGGGCCTCATGGAGCACGGGCGTGAGCGCACGACGCATCATTCATATGCATGGGCCAATTTGTGGAAGCAGTTCTGGACCCTGATCGATGAATACGGTGGTTTGGGACCCGAAGGTTTAACCATCGAGAAGATACAGGCGCATGTCAGCAGGCGGCGACTCGCTGATGGCGTGGGCCCCTGCTATCGTGATTGGTATGGGAACTACCTAGCCGACAAAGCGGCCAAGCGGGCGGCTACTGTCGGGAAGGTATCTGAAGCTGATCGTGGACGGCTTCGGGGGTCTCGTGAGCTGGTTGAAGGAGTGGCCCTGTGGGTTGCTGCAGTTGGCTCTCGTATTGGTGGCACGGACTGCTCACACCGCACGGCGAAGCCCAACAGGCCAGCGCCCAAAGCAGTCGTCAAACCTGTGGCAACCAATCTGATGTGTGACCTCAGGGGCGAAAAGGGTGCCAAGTGGTGTGCCAGGTGCAGATGGTACGACCGCAAATCAGAGTGCCCAGGGAGCATCGTCCCGACGGTGCTGGAGATGAGTTCCAAGTTAAAGAAGAAGCACGTGCTTGTGGAGCTGGCGCCCGTGCGGAGCTCCGAGCTCGTCAAGGATTTGGCGGTGATTGCATGCCTGGTGTGTGGCGCCTCAGCTGCAGCCAGGCCCTCCACGTTCAAGAAAGAGTGCGGCCACCCTGGCAGCAAAGGCAAGGCCGTGCTGTCGAGGCTGGAGAAGAAGCTTTGCCCACGATCTCCCAGATGGTCGTGGTCTCGTTCAAGATGTTGGATGGAAGTTCGTCCTCCAGTGGTACTGGCTCGTGCTGATGGTGGTGGTCTGCACCCAGATGCGCGAGTCCTTACACGGTCGGGGGCCTGGCCCAGTTGGGGGCCCCCGTGGTCGGGAGCCCGCAGCCTGCGGGCTCCCGTGGCCAGGGGCCCTGCCAGGCGGCAGGGCCCCTGATTCCTCGTCGGGAGCCTGGCTCCCGTGGCCAGGGGCCTTTGCCTTGCCTGGCGGCACGGCCCCTGTTCTCGTCGTCGGGAGCCTGCCTTGAGCGGCTCCCGTGGCCAGGGGCCCTCGCCTGGCGGCAGGGCCCCTGTCGGCGCGCCCGCGACCGCGGGCGCTGGGGAGGCGGCCGTCAGCCCGCCCCCTTGATGCGCGCGGATCCTCCTCCTCCTCCTCCTCCTCCTCCTTCTCCTCCCCCTCCTCCTCCTCCTTTTCCTCCTCCTCCTCCGCCTCCTCCGTCTCCCCCTCCTCTCCCTCCATCTCCTCCTCCGCCTCCTCCGCCTCCTCCTCCCCCCCTTCTCCTCCTCATCATCATCAGCATCATCACCATCATAATCGTCATCATCATCACCATCATCATCATCATCTTCATCATCGTCGTCATCATCAGCCTGTTTCACGCCTTCTCAACTGCGCATTACGGTGGCAAGCTCAGGGGGTGGAGGCTTGTCTCATGTGAAGAACGGGCGGGCCCCCAACGCGCGCTGACCCTGCAGAGCCAGACAACTCACCGCCTCGAGCGTTCTTGAAGTGCACGTGGGGTGGAGGGTGTCGCGACTCTCTTGGGGAAAGGGGCGTTGTGGGCTTCTCTTGGGGCGATACCGGTCAGGAACGATCGGGGCACTTTGTGTACGTCGTGGCCACTTCGCCAGGGAAAAGGGGCGAAGGCACACCGCAGTGTAGTCATGTTGCGATTGGTTGGCCTATCGGGGCCATCCATCCTTGAGATGCTCTGTGGCCACCTCTGGCCGCCGTGCGGCGATCGTGAGGTCTATTGGGAGCATGTGTGGCGGGGGCGTCTTCGCCCATCGGCAAGTTTTAGGCTAGATTGGGCTACTCGGATCCATATCAGGGCCATTGAGGGCCATCGCAAACACTCCAACCGCACGCCACGGATAATATAGGTGACCCCCCGTTCAGCCCAACTATCTGAGTATCCACGGGGTGCATGTGGGTTCAAGTTGCCACAAGAAGCGCGGGGGGCGAACATTAGGCGAACTTAATCATCACCCCCAAAATTCGCACCGTTGCTCTGATCATCATAACATGCACAGCACCATGGAAATTCTTTATGATCAATTCCGTGAAGATGCATCAAGCGAAACGCGAGTTTTTGAAGATTCGCTGAGTTCGCGACCAGCATGTCCAGGATGTCTCCAGGAACAGGTTGTTGTCCTCCCAGCATCCCAGACTTTCTTGTCCCCAGGGTGCGATTCTCACCGCCATAGGCTTAGCCCCTCGGTGGGGAGTCATCCAGGAACATGCGGAGGGATTGCCCCTGGATCGATCGGATCACCCCGTCCTGTCGACCCCTTGCCAATAGACCAACACGGCGTGAGCCCCATCTTGCGTCGGCAGACGCCCCAGATCATTTCCAAGACGGGTCAGACGGACTTGGGCGGTTGTTTTTGACAGCCAGCGTGGTCTAATACAGCCTCCAAGTTGGTCCAGTATGTCCCCAAGACGGTCCACGAGGCCCATGGCAGAGGCTCAAGACGGCCTCCAATAGGCCACGAAACACCGTCAACCACCTTCACGCATGTCCGCCTTCACACCTACGATCCCGACGCCTACCAAATGAGATTTCCGACAGGCCTCAGATCGACATCACATTTGACACGATAGAAATTCGAACGTCCTCTTCGCGTGGATGGGCTAGGGGCAAGATGTTCGACGTAAGGTAGGAGGCGGGGTAAACTCTTTACGAAGGGGAAGAATAGGAGGAATGTCGAGTAGAACCACCCACGCTGAAAGGGCAAGTGGGATCTGGCATCCGGGCCTAAGGAAGCGGCCGACAGACTACACTCAAGAGCGCGCATGCATCGGTTGAGATCGCACCCTTGCTCGCCTTGAGAAGGGCCCTGCCATATGCCCTGCCGTCTCGCAGAGTTTTCGAATGAATCCTTCGCGAAAGTGAACTTATTGGTATCGACTACAAAAGAAATCTTGATTGAACCATCCACAAACGAAATCCCGATTGTAATCCCCAACGAAAGAAATCATAGTGTAGGCTTCTCCGCTTGGAATTCTCGTGTAATCCTCAGCAGAAAATCCATTTGTAGTCCTCCACGAAAAGGAATCATATTGCAATCCTCCGCAAGAGGAATCCGATCGGAATCTTCCACATAAGAAATCGTTTCGTAATCCTCCACACAGTGGAATTGAATGTTTACCCTCTTCGAAAGGAATCCGATTCTAACCCTTCTCAAACAAACCCTGATGCAATCGTACTTAAACACCGTCCTGCTGTAGCCGTCCTCAGAAGGACTGCGATTGTCGCCTTCTGCAAAAGGAATCCCATTGTAATCCTCCACATACGGAGTCCGAATGCATCTCTTCACAGACTGAATCATACGGTAATTCTATACAGAAGGAATCCCAATGTAATCCATTACATTTAGCAGCCTGGGGTCTGGCAGGTATTCCCGGGATCTGTTCTAAAAACCATTGAGTGGATAGGACAAACAGACGTGTCGCCTGCGACTCCCTCCAAAATCATCACTCCAGTGATTTCGCCCGGTGTTGAATTGTGAAGGAGTGCCAAGCGATATCTGACTTTTCAGTGCTTCATTCTGGTGTTCATAGAGAGAAACACATGTTCGCTGAATGCTCTTTCCAGAGGTCCACACCAAGCAACTCCAATGGATCCCAATGGGTTCATAAAAGCCGGACGGGGTCTCAGGCGATTTTTTGATATGGAAACGTATAACCAAACTAAATCATGAAAGGACACGCCAGGTCTTTGACTGCTGAACTGTGAATTCGAGCTCGTCCTGGAGAGGACTACACGTATGATTCCTTCTGTTGAGGATTGCAGCAGGATTTCTTATGCAGAGGATTGCAATGGAACTCTTGTTGTAGAGGAGTACACAAGCATACCTCTTCGGAGGGTTTCAACAACATTCCTGCTGAGGAGGATTGCAATCGGATTCCTATCGTAAGCCTCCACGCGCGGAATCCTCTTGTTATCCTTGACAGGAGGAGCTTGATTGCAATCTTTCACAACTCAGCAGCCAGGGATCTGGCACATTCTCTCAGCCCATGTAAACTGATCCTGGCGAGAGGCCCAACAGTATCTATCTGTGAGTGCCGCAGTTGTGTGCCCCGCCTTCGGTGGAGATCCCTATGGGGCCACATCGTCGTCCTCGTCGTTGTTGCTGGTCGGTCGTTTTCCGTCGCGCGTCTTCTTCGTAGTCGTCGTCTTCGTTACGGTCGTCGTCGTTGTCCGTCGTCTGTCGTCCGTCGTCTGTCGTCCAGCGTCTTTCGTCCGTCGTCCGACGCCTGTCGTCGTCGTCGTCGTCGTCGTCATCGTCGTCACGGACGCTATCTGTCATTCGTCTACCGTCGTCGTGTTCGTCGTCGTCGTCGTCCGTCGCCCGTCGTCCGTCGTCCGCGGTCCGTCGACCGTCTAGCGTCGATGTCGTCGTTCGTAGTTTGTCGTTTGTCACTCGTCGTTCGTTTCTCGTCGTCGTCGCCGTCCGTTGTTCGACGATCGTCGTCCGCCGTCGGTCATCGTAGTCGTCGGTTGTAGTCTGTCATCGTCGTCGTTGGTCGTGGATGGTTCGTCGTCGTGGTCCTCGTCGTCGTCGTCGTGCACGTGTTCGTCCTCGTCTTGCGTCGTCGTCGTCGTGGTGGCTGTCTTCCGTCGTCGTGGTCGTCGCCGGTTGTCGCCGCCATCGTCAACGTTGTCGTCCGTCGTCAGTCGCACACCGTACGTCGTCGTCGTCGACGTTGTCGTGGTCGTCCTCGTCGTTGCCGCCGTTGTCGTCGTCATCGTCGACGCTGTCCTCCGTGTTCGTCGTTCGTCGTCGTGGTCGCCGCCGTCGTCGTCGTCGTCGTGATCTTCGTCGTCGTCATCGTCGTCGTCGTCTGTCGTCGCCGTCGCTTGTAGTCGCTGTCAGTCGTCGCCTCCATCGCCGTCGCCGTCGTCGTCGTCGTCGTCGTCGTCGTCGTTGCCGCCGTTGTCGTCGTCATCGTCGTTTTCCTCGTGGTCGTCGTCGTCGTCGTTGTCGTCGTCGTCGTCGTCGTCCTCGTCGTCGTCGTCCGTCGTCGTCGTCGTCGGTTGTTGTCGTCGTCGTCGGTCATCGTCGGCCTCGCCGTCGGCGTCGTCGTCGTCATCGGTGTCGTCTCCATCGTCGTCGTCGTCGTCGTTCTCTGGCGCTCGCCGCCGTCGTTTGCGAGCAGTGACTAGGGGATGACGCGGGGACGGGTTCGATCCCCCTCCTTGGAAGGGGGGGGTGTTTCAACGCTCCCACCTGCACCGTGGGGGACGGGGTCGAGCTCTTCAGCTTCCCGAGGGGGGGGGTGAATTAGGGCCGGCAGGGCTTAGGGGAGGCGGGGTGTCAGGGAAGCCACCAGATTTTTTGTTCGGGGGCGGGGGCGAGCACCCCCGAAGGTGTACGTTGCAGTCTAGTGGTCATGGAAGTCGCTTTTGTCCACGCTCCTGGTTTCCCCCTCCTGCTCCTCCTCTCTTCTCATCATCCCCGCCTCCTTCCCCTCTCCCTCCATCCTTCTCTCTTTTTCCTCTGCCCTTATCCCTGACACCCGTTCTCCTACGTCGTCGCATCCTTCGTTTTCAACCAAGCCGAATGCGCTGAAGACCGCACAATCATAGACGACTGGAAATAGCCTGAGCAGCGGATCCGCCCGTGCGTCGGTAAGCTGTGAAGTTGCCTCTCTTGGCTAGTCCACTCCTCCTCCTCCCTCTCCTTCTGTCCTCCTTTGCTCGTGGATAGCCCC